CATCGAAAAATTGGTGGGAAAATAATATAAAACAAACTATTGCTTCGGTGTTTTCTGACATATATACTATTGGGAATATCATTTTTTGTATTTTTAAATTTAATAAAGATAACTGCAAGGGTATACAAGCTTCGGCTTGCCGAAGTTACCTTCCTTTCTTGTTCAAGCATGAAAACTGTAGAGTCCATAGTTTTGGACGGTTTGTGAGCGTGACGTGTTCTATAAATTCTCTATCTTTGATAGTTTCCGAGATATCCGCATACATATATATTATTTTTTGACATTTGTGGGTTGTTTGTGGCCCTTAGAGTGGGCGTGGCACCCTTTTTCAGGTCAGTTGATAGGTATTCAAAAACTGTAGGAGCCACACTTAAAAGCTGCTTGTAGGCGTAAGATCAGTCATAATCTCTTAACAAACTTGAGCTGCGTACGAAGATAAAGAATCTAAATCTGAAATTTTAACCCTCTAGCTTTTATAGTTTCCGAGATCATGGCTAGATAGAGTCGGCAATTGATTCAGATCAAGAATGTATATACTTTATGAGGTCGTAGACGCTTCTTTCTTCCTGTTACATACTTTACCCCGACTACAATATGCCCTTGTACTCTACAAGGATCGGGTATAATAATGCAATATATATCAGCCCTGTTCCCGTTTTTCTTCGGAATTCTTAGATCTGTTTCAAGACTCACTTTCGAAAGAACTGCACGGATTTGAATTTCCCTCTGTTGTTATTCTGTAAACTTCTAGAGATGTTAGGGATTCTTTTAGCGAAGTGATACCCCCACTTTAACTCAAAAGTCTGTGTGGCGCCCACATTTTTGAAGATTGTCCAATTAAAATTGATTATATTGATCATATATACCAATAACACTAGCTTACAGCCAAAATAATAGTTATCTTTTTTTCTTCGGTATGTGATACAAATAAATAAAAATATATAATATACTCGTATATATAACTCGGTCGACTGTAGCATGCAGCTGCTATATCGGATAATTAATGGAAAAATAATATGAAAATAACTATAGCGTCATTATTTGCATTTTTACACCCTTGCAGAGGGTTTAACGATTTTAGTCAGAAGTTTGCAAAGCAGTGAAGGAAACGTTTCCGACGCCAGAAAGTATTTATTCTTGATCAGCATCACTAGACGAATTGATCTAGCCATGTTCCGACCCCATAAAGTATATATATTCTTGATCAGCATTACTAGACGAATCGCTCTAGCCATGTTCTGTCCGTATGTCCATATGCCCGTCTGTCCATTCTCTGTCAACTAGTCTCTCAGTTTTAAAGCTATCGGGATGATACCTTCCCAAAGACTTATTTCCATTGCAGCTAGTGAGAATGAGCCGCCATAGGAACGATCGGATAATTAACGTCAAATCAATACATAAACCGTTATGTTTCGTTTTCGGTAGACATACACGTTAGTTAGTTAAAAATGAAACATTATCTTAAAAACTGTGTAATTATTTTTTAGTTTTCGTCTAGCACCCACATTTTTCAATATTGAGTGTTTGTTATACCCGTTACTCGTAGAGTAAAAGAGTATACTAGATTCGTCGGAAAGTATGTAACAGGCAGAAGGAAGCGTTTCCGACCCCATAAAGTATATATATTCTTGATCAGGATCACTAGCCGAGTCGATCTAGCCATGTCCGTCTGTCCGTATGAACGCTGAGATCTCGGTCGAGGTACTCGACATAGTCGAGGTACTCGACTATAGCGTTCTTTCTTGTTTTAATTATTAATGCCATCTATCTATGGTATGGACAATAGCGTTCTCTCTTGTTTATTCTTCCCTCGCGAAATCCGGTATTTTTTCTGGTGTTTCCTTAGCCGCCTATTTGCCTCCCGCTCACTCCTATGGTTAGCTCGCGGTTTTCCTCGAGTACAGAAGAACTTTTGACTATTTTACAATTTACAATCTAATAGTTTCAGGGATATCAAAATTGTGAACCAAAAAACGGTGTTCGGCTTGTAAAAGAACGGCCCATAACTTTATAGGTTCGGAAACGTTTGTCGTATAATAAATTTTCGTCGCAAAAATTGATATCACAACTTTTTGTTTGTTGTCCTCACTAGATTTTTACCTCGTAAGAGGTGCTTTTGTTGAATATCAGAAGTTTTTGTTTTAAACGTTAATCTACAACATCCTAAAAATTTTAGAATTGTAGATTCTTATATAGGAACTGTTTATGACAATTTTAATTTCCATGACCCTAAAATAGCGTTTGGATACGCACATACGAAATTCAATGTTGTCCAAAGTTGAGGAATCACAAGGGCTATACAGTTTAAAGTTCTCTCCCAAATCGATTTGAAAAATAAAAAATTACTAAAAACCCAAAATAAAAAGCATCTAATTTTTAAACGAAGGTATTTAGACTAATCATGTTAGGAAGGCGTAGACAGTATTCCAATACACCTTTTCAACGAAACATATCACAAGCATGAATCTTAAGAAATTCACAAGTTACGGGTGTACGAAATTTAGCTATTTATAGCTGTTTTCCCGCCAAGCGAGCAAGGCATGCAAATTCTAGAGATTCCTGCGCAGCGTTAGTTTGCTTCCCCATTGTACCACGCCCACTCTAACGCCCACATACCGCCCAAAAATTTTTTGTTAGAAGGAAAATTTTCCTTTTTAACAACCTATGCACGAATGTGACATTAACTTGCTTATTTTAAAAAGAATTAGATCTTATATTTTATGACGAATTAAAAAAATGGTCTCAGTAGAAGAGATTTTATATATTTTATATTATGTTTTATAAAATTATAAAAAGTTATTGTGTTTAACTCAAAAACCCCATTTAACCCCTTAAAAAAAAGTAATTTAAGCGTAAAAAACGTTTGTTTATTGATTGAAGGGCAATTGCCTTTATTAACTACCTGTGCTTGAAAAATACAATAACTTGCTTATTTTAAAAAGAATTTGATCTTATATTGTTCCATAGAGTAGTATAGTACTCTACTATTCCAATTCTGTTTTTTTCAAAAGTTTATTCAAAGTTTACTCGTGATCTGTATTAACTTACTCTTTTTAGAAACTATCGATAACTAAAATTCAAAGCATTCCAATTATTATTGGAACGACGGCCCTCCCCTGCTGTTAAGAACTTGGGAAATAATTTTCAAAGTTCCAAGAGGAACCAATGTACCACCTAACAGATGAATGATCATATAAAATGTTTATTAATTAGCCGCATGGCGCCTGATTATGCTTCAGACAGCATTTCCATATCGGACAATAGACTGTGCGAGGGCAGTCCGATAAGTACCCAGCCTCACCGCCCGATGGCGTCACTATCGCAAGAGAAATTTACTATCGTGTAGTACATTTTCGTAAACGGCTACTGTCGAAATTTCATCCGAATCGGACTCGTAGTTTGGTTTTGACTGCGTGTGGAATCGAGCGTGACCGCGAATTTTAGAAAAATGGAGAAAGAGCAATATCGGTCTGTGATCCGATTCTTTTTTTTTTAAGGGAAATCGCACGTCGGTTTTTGATGAGCCACGCCCAGGTGCCCCGAAAACGGCTACCACGGAGGATAACGTGACAAAAATTCACGATCTCGTATTGGCAGACCGCCGATTGAAGATACGCGAGATAGCTGAGACAGTAGGCATGTCAAAAGACCGCGTGGGTCATATCCTGCATGAAATTTTGGGTGCCGCGTTTGCTCACTAAGGACAACAAACGCAACCGTGAGACCACTTCAGAGCAGTCTTTGACGCTGTTTAAGCGCAATCCGAAGGAGTTTCTGCGTCATTTCGTGACCGTCGACGAAACATGGATCCACTGGCACACACCAGAGGCCAAGGAACAGTCGAAACAGTGGACTTCACCCGGCGAACCTGCTCCGAAGAAGGCGAAGACTGTCCCACCGTTTTTTGAGATTCACAAGGTGTGATCTACATCGACTACCTGGAGAAGGGCAAAACGGTCACAGGGCTGTACTATGCCGAATCATTGGGCCAATTCGCCGCTGAATTGCAGAAAATACGGCCCCATTTGGCGCAGAAAAAAGTGCTCTTCCATCATGAAAACGCACCGGCTCACACTTACGCCCTCGCCAAGGCCAAATTGGTCGAATTGGGCTACGAACTGCTACCCTATCCACCATGTTCTCCAGATTTGGCCCCGTGTACCTACTTTTTGTTTCCAAACTTGATAAAGTCACTCGTTGGACAGAAATTTGCGTCGAATGAGGAGGTCGTCGCCGTCACAGAGCCCTATTTTGCAGACCTCGAGAAAACGTATTTTTCAGACATGTTAAAGAAGTTGGAGCATCGCTGGGTCAAGTGTATTTTCACTTTTTCAAAATTTTCGTTTTTCTTTTAGGGGCTAAGTACTCATCGGGCCACCCTCGTACATCAATCCATCGACCGGTCGATATATCCAGAACCGACAATACTCAACAAAGTACACTCAGGGAAAAACGCCGTGCTTAAAAGAAGTACAAACAGCCTTGACTTAAGAACGATATAATGCTGAACTTTTTGAGAACGTTCGTACTGAAAAATTCTTAAATTGAGTACAATTTGGATTCAAATATGATCAAGCAGAAAAAATTCTTAAATTAAGTACAGAAGTATTCAAATTAAGACTAATAATATTTAGTTCAAGACCGAATAGAACTTGATAATAGCACAAACATTGTTTGGCACGTTTATTTGAAAAAAAAATTAAGTTCTGGTTAAAAAATTTAGGACAGGTAATAACTGGAAACATCCTTATATACTTGCAATTAATTCAATACGGTAAAAAAATATTAATTTTTCTCAAAGGGTGTAAAAATCTTCTTCTTCGATAAAGGGTACGATTAGACTATCAAATTATTTGATTTAAACAAAGTTACATACATTTATGGCTAGCATTTTGAAATGCCAATTTAAAAAGATTTTTTTCATTTTAATGAATGTTAAATTTTAATCGGCTGACCGTAGCTTTTGGATTTATTGACGTTCTCGCCGTTCTTTCTAAAATCGTGGAACGGTCACACTTGTCTTAGAAGCGTCGCAATTGAACCAAGCGTTTTCGCGGCATTGTGAATAAAATTGAAGTGAACATACAACATACATAAGTGATACAAAAAAGGATCAAAATGGCTAAAGAAGAATGTGGAGAGGATCCTCTATATAAACTTTTAAAAAAGATGGAAATTGAGGAAGTGCATACATTTCTAACAGGTAAGAAAAGCACTCGTTTTTTGGTGCAATTGTAATATTAATATATAGAGGTAAAACATTGTGTGTGTGTATATACATATGTGTACGTGTGTACTTTTTGTGATTCAGAAACGCATTCCTGCCGTTTTTGCTTTATAAATTATAATATATGTCTAAACTTTAAGTATGTATATAAAATGTACATAAATACGTTTGTAATAAGCGGTAATAACATTTCCAGAATCTCAGAAATTCTGTAATGGGTTTCTTTCACAAATAACTGTAAGGACGTGTTTCACGCGTAAAAAGAGCATACGTACAAACAAGTGTACATACATATGTACATACATATGTATGTACACTTGTTTGTACGTATGCTCTTTTTACGCGTGAAACACGTCCTTACAGTTATTTGTGAAAGAAACCCATTACAGAATTTGTACGTATGCTCTTTTTACGCGTGAAACACGTCCTTACAGTTATTTGTGAAAGAAACCCATTACAGAATTTCTGAGATTCTGGAAATGTTATTACCGCTTATTACAAACGTATTTATGTACATTTTATATACATATTTAAAGTTAAGACATATTTTATAATTTATAAAACAAGTAGGGCAGGAATGCGTTTCTGAATCACAAAAAGTACACACGTACACATATGTATATACACACACACAATGTTTTACCGCTATATATGAATATTATGTATTACCATTCCGTCTCTTATAGCTTAGTTGAGACGCCAGCTAATAATATGTGTATGTTCATAAACTTTAACTCCCTTGTCAATATCATCAATTAAACCTATATTTTTACTTTACTTACATATTTACATAAATTTAATTATTTATGCGCATCAACTTAGCTGCAAAAGTAAACATCGACCAGCTAAAATACATGAACGCTGATGACATTAAGGAGGCAGTGCCTCCATTAGGTCTGCGCATAGAGTTTAGACAAAAACTCTTCAGATGGAAGGAGTCTGAGGTACGTTATTAGCAAAATAGTACATGAATACGGTTTAAAGTATTTTAAATTTGTAGGGTGGAGATGAATACCAAATTTCGCCACTGCCCTCCATTGTCAAACCAGACGTTAAGGCTCCCCTAAAGTTCATTTTGAATAAAAGCTTGCACTCCTTACTTAATGAGTCTCGAAAGGGCATGAAGATTTTGGAACATGAAGAAACTCATCATTATCTTCCCCAAATGCATCGGGACGAACTTATTTCTATTATAATAGAAGAGACCATGCTCGAAAATATTACGATTAGCGTTCCAGATTTCCAAACCTTGCTAGAAGCCAGATAAACGTTAAGGTAAAAACATAATGCTGTAAATAATTTGACTTGCTTTTCTAATTTATGTTTGTATAGGATTACTGTTTTATACCTCGAATGGGTAGAGGCAATCCTGCAGGAAAACTGTATTCAAAATATAGGAACCGCCGCAGCCGCATAATGAAAAAGAAGAAGAGGTCTGTAGAACTTGTGATCTTCGAAGAGGATGATGCAGACATCTGCAAGGCATACAAGCTGACGCTTAGCCGTACATGTGACGATTGGGAGAGTGTACGCGATATGTGGAAGAAGACATACAAAATACGACAGGAAGACGTCACGGCTCTGAATAACTCTGATTTTTTTAAAGCTTGGAATAAATTTTCCCATGCAAAGGCGTACGAGCTGGTAAGAAAAAATATATATTTATTTTTATACCCTTGCAAAGGGTACATTGATTTCAGTCAGAAGCTTGCAACGCAGTGAAGGAGACGTTTCCGACCCCATAAAGTATATATATTCTTGATCAGCATCAAGTAGATCTAGCCATGTCCGCCTGTACGTCCGTTTCTAGTAACAATCCTTAAACATTTAACATGGTGTTACTAACATTGATTATTTCTTATAACTGCAAGGTTATACAAACTTCGGCTTATATATTATTGTTTTTCAAGATTGATATTGATTTCGACCTTATGTATCCTGGAAAAGGTTTTCATTTGCTTTAAAAGTGGCAAGAATTTCGGCAAAAAATAATGTGTTATTGCGAAGACAACATCATTAATGAACATTGCAAAGCCCAACTCTTGCTTGTTAAGAACTGCACCAACATAGGTAAGCTTAACATTTCTTGTTATTTAATACCTAAGCATAGAAAAGTTTGTATTTATTTTGTGATTCACTGTTTTTATACTAATACTAATCATATTTAAACCCGCTTTTTTGACAAAGCGAATACTATACCTTTTATTGGTGTTATAAATATATATTAATAAACTATTCTAATATAACAGATGCCAAGGACTTCATAATCGCCACATTGCTGAATGCTGTTTTGCCCTCATCAGCCCGCTTCAAGAATGAAGATGAAAATGTACAAGAAAGGCTACAATACTGGACGCGCAGGAGAGTTTCGGGCTGAGACTAGTAACTATTAATGACTAAGATATTCAATTGGACCGAGTCATAAACAAGTATTACAGTTCGGGTCTTAAATTACAGCCTATTATTATTGTAGTTGGTCCTTTCGATTGTGAGATCAACTTATTATGTTGCCACACAAAACCCACATGTACATATATATAAGATTATAAGTTGTTTTAGTTATAAGGAAAATATTTTTGTTTTATGTAATGAAGTAGATTTAATTCGATTTGACAAACATTTTCATTCTTATGAAATCGGTTATCCAACCGACACATTTTGCATTTTAAACATTAATGAAATAACTACTCTTCCTTTGCGCTTATATACAATAAACAATGGAAAATCGTATCTTATATTTAAGTATATATAGAAACTATAAACATGTGAAATAAAATTTAAGCCAAAACAATTGCTTTTTAAGCGTATATAGAAAATGTAAAATAAAATGAATATCAAAACAATAGCTTCCTAAGCTTATGTAACAACTGTAAAATAAACATGTACAATAAAATGTAAACCAAAACAACAACTTCCTAAGCGTATAAAAGTTTCTGAAATTGAGTTTTACCATACCTTGTTTTAAGAATGGGGGATCCGGTTTTAAGAACTAACAGTTCTTTGGTCTGGCATGATGTGATCTTAATATAATAATTATTCCTGCTTAACTTAAAATGTATATTGTTTTAATTTAAAAATGAAATATTCTTGAACTTAGTATTTTTACTCTAGCTTCAAGAGTATAATTTACTGGGTTTAGTAATTGTTTGTTCTTAAATCAAGCCTTAAATTTTCTTAATTTATTAATAAATCGCACTTATTTCAAGTATATATATGTCTAGACTTAAGAATACTTTATTATTGATTTGAGAAAGCTCCATACTTGATATTAATCCCCAGCGTTCTTAAGTCGTACTGAAACCAAGAATTTGCGGACTTAAAAATTCGTGCTTGAAAGAAGTATTTTGTTCTTTGGTTCTGTATTTTCCATGCTTGGCGAAGTTTTGACACCGAAAATACTAGGTTCAAGCATGAAATACTTGATTTTTTTTCTGAGTGTACTTATCACATTGTCCAGGCAAACAGCCACAAATAGTCGATAAACACACAAGAGATTTGGCTTTTCCAATGATTTTATAATGTGCGATGGGAAGCAATCAATCCATCACGAAATAATTCTGCAGAGTCCGGCTGGTTGGTTGGGCAACCGCAGAGTAGCCTCCTTGTGTAAATACTTGGCCTATGACTTGGCCCCCAAAACAACGCATAGCTTTATCCGTACACTCATCCAGGAATTCGTTTAATCCATCAGGCAGTCATTCCTTGTCATTGGTCTGTACCCCATCCCTGTCTCATCGGTTGAGTCTAAGCAGTTAGACCCGTGGCGCACAATCTATCAGAGATCCACGGCTTCTTACAGGCAAAAGTTATTTCAACCTGTCGCTTTCCTTTTATTACACCCCTCATGTCTGCCGTCCGTTCCTAATTCCTTTTCTAGCGGACCAGTTCATTAATCAGGGCAATAGCTATCTGTATCTGCCCTTAAATGACGGCGAACTGCTAAAGCAAATAAACAAACTGTTCTTCACAAACATTATCCACGTTCCGTGTAAGCTTGAATTTTATTTTGAAATACTGATTTGTAATTTGTTAATAAATTTTTGTTATTTCTTGAATGAAGTCTTTCTAATTTTATTTATTTCAGGTGTGTACGTGATGGATGTTACCTTTCGGAGGCAGACTGTTTTCTATTTTATCTTATTCTATTGTTTGAGGTAATGTCGCATTTATTCGCCGTATTGATGTTATCTTACATTTTACACAGAAAACCGTTACGTTTTCATTATAAATGAAAATGTTACTAGTAGAGTAAAATTGTATATTAGATTCGTAGGAAAGTATGTAACAGGCAGAAAGAAGCGTTTTCGACCCCATAAAGTATATATATTCTTGATCAGGATCACTAGCCGAGTCGAGCTAGCCATGTCCGTCTGTCCGGATGAACGCTGAGATCTCGAAAACTATAAGAGCTTGGCTATTGAGATTTGGCATGCAGATTCCTGAGCTTCTTGAGAAGCGCAAGTTTGCAGCAGAGTGCCACGCCCACTCTAACGCCCACAAACCGCCCAAAACTGTGGCCCCTACAGTTTTGATGCTAGAATAAAAATGTTAAGCATGAGCTTTTTACGCAGTGCAAGTTTGTTTCAGCAGTGAGCCACGCCCACTCTAACGCCCACAAACTGTTGCTCCTCCAGTTTTTATGCTAGAATAAAAATTTTAACTGAAATGTAATGTTCTCATCAATACCTCTCGATTGACTCAAAAAAAGTTTGCCACGCCCACCCTAACGCCCATAACCCGCCCACAAACTTCAAAAAATCGTAAATATGAACGTGGATATCTCGGAAACTATCAAAGATAGAGAATTGGGATTTCAGATTAAGATTCCGTAGCCTTATACGCAGCGCAAGTTTGTCACGCGAATATGCCACGCCCACTCTAACGCACATAACGCTTAAATCTGTATACCGCCGGTAGGTGGCACATTTTAATATCGCTTTGCTACTTGCATATCTCTATTTAGCTGAGTAACGGGTATCTGATAGTCGAGGTACTCGACTATAGCGTTCTTCCTTGTTGTGTAGGTATGTAGTAAAAACCAATTTTAAAAAAATAAAAATAAAAACAAATTTATATTTCGACTTTATTAATTGGGCTAACGATAGGTATGTGTAAAATTAAAGCAGCTTATTTTACAATAAAACATTTTTATTTTACTTACAAAGAGTTGTTTCAGACTATTTTAATATAAACAAGATAAAAGTGCGCTACCAGCCGCAGCCCACAAAAAGTCATTGTCCCCCGATATACAAATACAGCAGAAAGTAACGCAAAAATCCGAATTATTTCTGACTATATGCATGTTGATTACAACAAACGAATTGTTCCTATTGTTTATGTGGTTCCATTTTCACAATACTTTAGTCAATTGATTTTTTTTGTGATTCCGCAATGGCTGATAATTCTAGTTGATCATTATACAAGTGAGTCTTATAGCCACGAAAACTTTGGTTAACATATTGTGAAACTTTCTCATAAATTCTTTTGATTGTTTTGATAAGATCCTGAATATTTCCCAGAAAGGAATGTAGGCAAATCGGAATGTTGATTAGTTGTTTCCATTGTGATTGATGCTGAACGTAAGTTAAACATAGAAAAAAAAGGAAGAACGATATAGTCGAGTACCTCGACTATCAGATAGCCGTTATTTAGCTAAAGGGAAACAATGGAAATGGAGATATGCAAGCAGCATATATGGTTATGTGGGCGGTAGACAGATTTAAGCGTTATGGGCGGTAGAGTGGGCGTAGCTAACTTTTTTTGGATCAATCGATAGGTATTGACGAGTCTAATACAATTTAATTAAAATCTTATCTAGCATAAAAATTGTGGGCGCCGCTGGTTTGGGAGGCTTGCGGGCGTTAGAGTGGCCGTGGCATATTCGCGTAACAAACTATGGCTATGGAATCTAAATCTGAAATCCCAATTCCCTATATTTGATAGTTTCCGAGATATCCGCGTTCATTTTTTGAAGTTCGTGGGCGGTTTGCGGGCGTTAAAGTGGCCGTGGCAAAATATTTTTAGTTAAATCGATAGGTACTGACGAGACCAATACATATCAGTTAAAATTGGTTTCTAGCTTTAAAATTTTGGGCGGCACAAGATTGGGCGGTTTGCGCTTACGCTGCGCAGGAATCTCTAGAATCTGCATGCATAATCCCAGTATTGTAGTTTTTATAGTTTCCGAGGTCATAGCGTTCATACGGACAGACGGACAGACTAACAGACGGACATGAATATATATACTTTGTGGAGTCGGGAACGCACCCTTCTACTTGTTACATACTTTCCGACTAATCTAGTATACCCTTTTACATTACAAGTAAGGGGTATGATAATGAATTCTTTTTATTTCTAAGATCTGTAATATTTATCAGCCCTGTTGCAGTTTTGACCTCGGAATTTCAAGATCTGTTCTGAGACTCACTTTTGAAAGAACTGCACGGATTTGAATTTCCCTCTGTTGTCACTCTGTAAGCTTCTAACTACTTCGTGATAGTATTATATACAAATTATGATATTATCATATTCCTTGATGTTTAATGTTGATAAAAGAACTAACAGATTTTGAATCAGTTGCATATTTGATTTACTTTCATTCAATATTATAACCATTATAAGACAGGTAGAAGGAAGCGTTTCCTATCCCATAAAGGATATACATTCTTGATCAGGATCACTAGCCAAGTCGATCTAGCCATGTCCGTCTGTCTGTCTGTCCGTCCATATGAACGCTGAGATACAGATTCTGGAGCTTCTCGCGCAGCGCCCGGTTATCACCCACATTTCTTAATATTTTTGAATAATTTAAATGAGGTTTTGTTATTATTATCAATACCTATCTACATGCCAAAAGTTATTGAAATCGTATCATTCATTGAAAAGTTATAACCAAATAGTAGTCAATAGTTCGCAAATTCAGTCGAGATGGCAGCAAATCAGCTGTTTTCACTAATACTCCACCAAGCCGCTAGGGGTGCTATGGGCTAGTCTCCAATACGAATGATGAAAAAGAATTTTTTCATTAACTTCTACTCTTGGGTATAAATTTCTGTTAATATATCAGAACTTTGAATAAAATCAGGGTTCAAAAAAACTGTAAACTGTATGTAAAATACTAAATGTGCGGTTGGCTATTTTTTTAAATTTTTTTGCAGATACTACCACGGTAAGTATGATTATGTTATTAATTTATGTCGCACAAAGGGTGAATCAATGTTTTAATATTGAATTCATAATTACATAAGTAAATTTGTTCGGTTAACGAAAATAAATTGTTTTTACTAGCAGAGTGGTACGATTTAATGTATGCTTTAATTTCATTTATTCTCGACAAAATAATCATGACGATGAACCTGTGCCATCAACTTCAAGCCAATCAAGAGCTCTTTTAAGTCAATTCCTAAGTTCATTTGAAGAATTTCAGAGCGGAGAGAGCCGGTTGATTTAAATGTTGAAGTTATGACTTATTGGGAGGAGAAAAGATTTGTCTACCCATACCTGTACCAAATAGCTATAGTGGTCCATGCTGTTCCTGCTACCCAAGTTAGCGTTGAAAGGTAATTTTTCGCCCTTAAACTTATACTAACGGACCTCAGATGCCATCTTTCATCGGAGTCAATAAAAAAACTTTTATTTGTTAAACTAAATAAACAATTTAAATAAAATACCCCGTTCTCGGATCTAACACTGATGCACAAGGCCAGTATAGGGAATTTATTTTGTTAACCGAAAGTGTACCCTTACATATAACTAGTCGGTTATGCATGTATGTAAGGGCTGCCTACTATTAAAACATTGATTTGTTCCATGTGGTCTATAGTATCTGAAAACAATTTTAAAAAATAGCATACCGCACATATAGTATTCTAAATGTTTAATCACATTTCTCTGAACAACAGAACCGCCACAATATGATATTGAGTTTTATTTTTGAGCGAAATAATAAAATTTCTTGAGTTTAAAAGACATGACATAACTATTATAAAGTGATTTTAAAAATAAAACTTATAACAGTTACGATCCTTAAAGAAAATTAAAAAACAATCGGACTGCTTTATCATATAGCTGCCATAGGAATGTAAATGTCAAAATAAGATAAACATACATACCGTAAATAATTACGGCATACCGTAAATAATTACGGTATATATATATATTTATATTTAAATGGAACATAAGCTTAATATTTCTAAAACTAGTTTATAGTTTTTAAAAATCGGAAACCTCTGTACATACAATGCTTACACGAAAACAGCCAGCAAGGGTATAGAAACTTCGGCTTGCCAAAGCTAGTTATCTTTCTTCTTTTTATGCATATCATGACAGCCTTGGCCCGTTTTAGCCAATTCCGAGCGAATTTCAGAAACGGGGCTGCGGATTTTCAATTATTGTAAAGACTCGAATTGACCGGAATCCGTGCAATTATTTTGGATGTAAAAACTTGAACAGGATCACCAGCTGAGTCAATCTAGCCATGACTGCCATAATTTATAAATATTATTATTCAGGATCACTAGCCGAGTCGATCTAGCCATGTTCGTCTGCCCGTCTATCCGTCTGTCTGTCCATCCTGATGAACGCTGAGATCTCGGAAACTATAAAAGCAAGGATATTGGGATTTGGCATGCACATTCCTGAGCTTCTTACGCAGCGCAAGTTTTTTTTAGCAGCGTGCCAACAAACCGCCTACATAACCATATTTTGAGATCGCGGGTAGGTGGAGCATTTCAATCTAGCATTGCTGCTTGCATATCTCCATTTCCCTATAGTCCCTATAGCTGAGTAACGGGTATCTGATAGTCGAGGTACTCGACTTGTTTTATCTATGTTTCTTAACTCTACCAGAACCAAAGTATTATTTTGTAAGCAAGTATAATCATTCCAACCGCTATATTATTTTAAAATCGATATAACTATGTCAAAAGTTAAATAACAAGAAAGGAATTTAACTTCGGCAAGCTGAATTGTATGTACAGAGCTTTCCGATTTAAGAAAACTGAAAACTAATTACAGAAATTTAAAAATAATGTTCGATTTCAATTAAATACCGTTTATGTATACCGAAAACTAATTATAACGGTATTTTTATAGATATAACGCTAGATAGAACGCTTTAGTCTAGTGCAGATACCTGTTACTCAGCTTACCAACTTTAAACTTTTGACCAATTTTAATATAAAACTGTTAGTACCAGTTTTGGGGCAGTTTATGGGCGTCAGAGTGGGCGTTCGAACATTTTTTTATATCCATCGATAGTTTTGACGAAATGAATTTATATTAGTAACCACTAGTAACTGCCACTAAAACTGTAAGAGCCACAGTTTTTAGTGGTTTGTGGGCGTTAGAATGAGCGTGGCACACTGGCGAAATGTGTACGATGTGTACGTAGCAAAGGAAACTAAATTTGAAATACCAGTTCAATATCTTTTTTGAAGTTTATTTTTTTTTTTATTTTATTCGATAGGTATTGACGAGAACAATAAATTTCGTTTTAAAAATATGTTTTAGCACTTAAACTATAGAGTCCAAAGTTTTTGGCGCTTTGTGGGCGCCAAAATGGGCATGGCACATAGGCGTAACAAATAGAGAACAATAAATTTAAGTTACAACTATCATTCTAGCATGAAAACTGTAGGCCCCACAGTTTTGGGCGGTTTGTGGGCGTTATAGTGGTCGTGGCAAAGTTTTTAGGTCAGTCGATAGGTATTGAAACCAATACATTTCAGATAAAATTTGATTCTAGCACTAAAACTGGAGGAGCCAAAGTTTTAGGAGATTTGTGGGCGTCAGAGTTTGCGTGGCGCAAACTTCAAAAAATCGTAGATATGAACGCGGAAAACTCGAAAACTATTACAGATAGAGAATTTGGGATCTTAGATTTAGATTCCGTAGCATTGTACGCAGCGCAAGTATATCCATTTAGGCATATTGTATATTTCTTGCTTTCATACCAAATATTTTCATAACGACATTTAAAAACATTTACAAATATACTGACCGTGACGTGCTACCCTAATTGGCGTCGGTTTCATTACTGATTTGTAATCAATATACAGGGTAGGATATAGTTGGTTAAGTTTTACATAGGGGGATGTGTGCGTTGTCGCCGGTATCGTACTTGCAGGGACCGGAGTATGTTTCGTCGTTCGAGATTCGATATTCGCTTCGCTATAACAATGTGGAAACAAGCAGGAACAAAAGATACCACGATCGCAGCAGGACCTTGTCAAAGGAGACGAAGAGTTCTTTCTATGGTATTTACCTGGCTCGGAGGCCAGTAGCCGGTCAACACTAAAACTCAGCTTTAATTTGGTGGTGCTCGTGGTGGTGGATGGCGTCGAAATAACTACGGTAGTCGGGGCACAGGACTCTTTTGTCGTCGGATCACTTTCCATCGGATCAGGGCCTTTCATTCGAGCTAAATTCTCGGGCATCCTCTGTTCCATACTGGCGGCGCTCTCATGAAATAACATTGCTCGGTTATATGGAGGTTCACGAAAGGAAACTGGAAAGTCACAATCATGTTCCAAAACACCGTCGCTTGGAATTGCTTTTATAGATCGCGAAATTGTATTAAAAGTCTGTGCACCTTCGATTAAACCGCTGTGCAAGACATGCCACTCAGAACTGATCAAAACCTACTAGGGGTACGCTCAATCAGCGATCGATTGCCGTACACATACAAGAGGTCTGTTGCATGGGCGTATTAAAGGGGGAATATGGGGTATTGTTTAATCCCCCACCTGATTTCCTATGGATAACATTTTGTCGAAAAGTGTGCTGCACAATGTTATTTATAAGCACCCCTCAACTAAATTATAGCTACGACACTGATAGGTTAATCTCACTGAGGTTGTGGGTCCCTACAGTTACAGTGGGGCAAAGAATGTAAGATATATGAATAGGAAGTTAAAACTACGTAAGATAATCATTTTATATCCCAGAACTATTGGAGCTAGAGAGATGAGATTTCAGGTTTTTATGGTGTGGAATTGCTCTTACGCTCAATAATATAAAAGCATATTAAATATGCTTTTATCGGTATCTGAGTGATTTTTCTACAATTTTTGTTCTAGATGTGACCAAGTGACATGATATTGTAAATTAATTTTTTTTAATTAAAAACGTCTTATATAAGTTAAAATAAAAAACCAAACCAAAAAAAATGTTTGAAATTTTTGTGACCTCTAACCCCCATGCCGGTGCACCTAGTACGATGCGAAAACGCTAAAAATCACGCCTACATTTTGTTATATTGCTGCAGAATGCTTTTGTAAAATGCCACAAAACCTTTTTCGTTTTAAACTTTTCCCAAGTCACAAAAAGATCCCATATTAGGGTACATTTGATCTATCAGAGATTTATTGACACTCAATAGCATCACATTGACACCTAAATAAGGGCTCATTGATGACAATTATTTTTGGGTGCGTCTTATTAATTTACAATGCATGTGGTTTTAGTCATTTTCGCTTCAGTATTCATTAGTGGCATAAAAAGGTGCAAGTTTCACTTCAACTAAAGCAAGTCTCACAAAATTTCTCATACAAATTTCCATCGACTTGATACCACTGTGATCGAACACGGATGGATATACAGTTGAGCTGTTTACACATAAGCATGCTGCTGTGTCATTAGTTCAGTCGGAGATTGTTTCTTCGACCGCTGCAGAGATTTGTTTACAGATTTCTCCATATGTTCCCGTACTCCCACACAGACACAGACACAGACAACTTAGCGAATTCCGGTTTCCTTGCGTAGAGACCATGGCCTGTGACCAATGGGAGCAAACCGTTGTAGTGGGCGGAGTCAAAGTGAAGATGCTGGTACCCTTGATGAGGTATCTCTCTTTCTCACACGTGGAGTTGGTGCTTAGTTGGTCTGGAATTGAGCGATCTCTGCGAACTTCACCTGCTGCACAAGTTTTGCGGTTTGTGCGTTTGTCAATGATGTGGGTAACCAAGCGTAAACCAGCGAAACAGTACACAGAGAGAAAAAACAAAGAACATTGTGCTTGAATTGAGAACATTCGTTCTTAAAAACCGTGTAAGCACACTTTAAAAGGAAAAAAATGATTTAAAATTTAATACTCTTCCCAAAAAAAACTCAAAAATAAGTTTATTAAGTTTTTAATAGTTTCATATTTTTATTAAGTTGGTGACAGTTATTTAATGTTTGATTATTTTAAAGCGTATAATATAACATTATGGTACATATAAGTGCTTATAAATATATACATTTAAATTAACGTAATGGAAGGGGGCGCTGGAAATAAAAGAATAAATGTGAGAGTTATTATAAGTTTTTTTATGAGTTTATGACAATTATAAGTATGTTTATATATACATACAAACATGTATGTAGAACAAATAAACACACGTGAACACGAACGAATTTGTCCCTACCAAATTCTTGAGAAAAACACACTCAATGCAGCCATGGCTTTTGCAGTTGCAATCTTTAAAAACAATTCAGCACCTTGCAAGCATTTTCTATCGCGGAAGGCACTATTAAGTGACTTATAGAAGATAAAAACGATGCTGCCGAAGTTGCACATTTCTTCCCGACGGGAGTCACTTCCGCGATCCGAATGCGATATCGCCGAAGTAACTTCTGGAAGTGTCGCCGTGGTCACCTATGGAAGTCACTCAAAGTTACTTTACATATGTTTGCAGAAGATACCTAGAAGAGTCTTTCAATATTTTGCATTTATTTTTGTATAAAGGCTTTGTCGCTCGAATGAACAATGTTGTTTAGGTCCAGCTCCGTCGACATAAGAAATGTACTAATAACCATTTGTAAAAGAAACAGAAACAAAAAATGTTTTGTGTTCAGTCAAAGTAAAAATAAACTAGAAGACATTACCTTTTACAATGAAATATGTTGAGAATCGTTGGATGATGCGGCTTCTCCGCAGTTACACGCGAAGTAATGTCCACAGCTAGCTGGTCCGTAAACAGCTTTAAATAATCGTACAGCTCACGATAAGCACGTAATTTCGCACCCTTTGTTGAGGGGAACATTTAAATATGTTAAGCAATTAAAAACTTTAAAAAAAAGAAAGGAAGTTAACTTCGGCAAGCCGAAGCTTGTATACCCTTGCAGCTATAATTATTAAATTTAAAAACACAAAAAATGATATTCTTAATACTATAAGATAATATGTCAAAAAACACCGAAGCTATAATTTGTTTCATATTATTTTCCCCACCGATTTTACGATCGTTCCTATGGCAGCTATATGATATAGTCGTCCGATTTTGATAAAATTAAATTCGAAATTCAGAACTAATTAAAAAATGTTATTTCCAAGCGTAGGAGGTTATATGTTAAAAAACACCGAAGCTATAATTTGTTTCTTATTATTTTCCCACCAATTTTCCGATCGTTCCTATGGCAGCTGTATGATATAGTCGTCCGATTTTGATAAAATTAAATTAGAAATTCAGAACTAATTAAAAAATGTTATTTCCAAGCGTAGGAGGTTATATGTTAAAAAACACCGAAGCTATAATTTGTTTCTTATTATTTTCCCACCAATTTTCCGATCGTTCCTATGGCAGCTATATGATATAGTCTTCCGATTTTGATAAAATTTAATTCGAAATTCAAAACTAATTAAAAAATGTTATTTTCAAGGAAAGGAGGTAATATGTTAAAAAACACCAAAGATATAATTTTTTAACATTTTTTTTCCGATTATTCCTATGGGGGCTATATGATATAGTTGTCCGATCCGGCTGGTTATAAGACTTTTGGGAAAGTTTCAGCCCGATAGCTTTAAAACTGAGAGACTAGTTTGCGTAGAAACGGACGGACAGACGGACATGGCTAGATCGACTCGTCTAGTGATGCTGATCAAGAATATACATACTTTATGGGTTCGGAAACGTCTCCTTCACTGCGTTGCAAACTTCTGACTGAAATCATTATACCCTCTGCAAGGGTATAAAAACAAAGCTATATTTTTAAAACGCACAAATTTGATACAAAACCGCACTGTACACAGACAAATTGCGCAACGAAATGACGCTCGGCCGAAAAATAGTAGCATGGGTCAAACCAAACCTGGGACCTCTTATTATGACTTCTTTTTCTTTCCACTAATTTTGTTTTTGTAAAAGGTGTACTATCGCCTTTCTATCGCTCAGAAGTGTCTCAGAAGTTACTTCTTCGCGATCCCGACCCTTTTTGTTTTTGTAAAATGTGTTATATCGCCTTTCTATCGCGCAGAAATGTCTCAGAAGTTACTTCTTCGCGATCCCGCCCCTTTTTATTATTTTGTTTTTGTAAAATGTGTACTATTGCCTTTCTATTGCTCAGAAATGACTTAGAAGTTACTTCTACGCGATACATGTATATTTTGTTTTTGTAAAATGTGTACTATCGTCTTTCTATCGCGCAGAAGTTACTAAGAAGTAACTTCTGATAGACAGGCGATAGAAAGATTTCCCTTTTGCTTGCTTGACACTTCTCGGAGTCGGCGACACTTCCAAAAGTGACTTCCGCGATCCGAATGCGATATCGCGGACGATCGTTTTCATCTTCTATAAGTCACTTAATAGTGCCTTCCGCGATAAAAAATGCCTGCAGGGAAAAATTGTATTTTATTTTAAAGCTCTAAGTACTCAGGAACTTATACTAACCCTCATGGAATTTTCTTACGGACTCCATTTCAATATTCTTCAGGAACTTTAACAACTGCTCGTCACTTTCACTTTTCATTATTTTAAACTTTTTGCAATATATGCGGCACAAACAAATCGAAACGCAAATGTCTAACGCGTGCTAACTGATAACCGAAAGATAGTAACGCGTTATAAATAATCCGCAACACCATTTGAAGTCGAAATGCAACTCACTTTTCGTTCTATTTTTAACAACTGCTCGTCACTTTCACTTTTCATTACTTTAAACTTTTTGCAATATATGCGGCACAAACAAATCGAAACGCAAATGTCTAACGCGTGCTAACTGATAACCGAAAGATAGTAACGCGTTATAAATAATCCGCAACACCATTTGAAGTCGAAATGCAACTCACTTTTCGTTCTATTTTTAGTCCTTCCCGATCTTACTTTAAGAACATTTTGAGATTATTGGGTTTCTGAGAACAAATTGTACTTGATTTAAAAACCACGTGCTAAATGTGTAACATTTCGTTCTTGTTTTGAGAACAACTTTGAATTAACCAAATTTTAAGTGCAAACTCAACTTGATGCAATCACAAGAGAACATTTTGAGCTCAAAAAATGTCGTTCTCATTTTACGAAAATTTTCAACTCAGATGAGAACGTCAGAATTCTCTCTGTATACAAACAGATTCTCAGCATAAACAACTGAACTGAAAATCTGCAATGCAAGACTTCACTGAGAAAAGATATACCAAGACGACATCAATCGTGTATTTTTTCATACTACATTTTCTCATACACCCAGAACAGTATCGTCATCAATATGCTTCTATTTAGGTGTCAATGATACGAAGAACATCAAATTGACCCTAATAGGATAACTTTGACACTTGAAAAAGCCCCCAAATTTCGTTATATTTTTGAATAATTTTTAATAAGTGTTTGTTTTAATTACAAAAACCTATATACATGCCAAAAATTATTGAAAAAAAAAATCATTAAAAAGTTATATAAAAATTAATAGTCAATATTTTGCAAATTCAATCGAGATACACACCATATGCAGAAATTCAGCTGCCTTCACTAATTCGCCATTAAGACGCTAGGTGCGCTATGAGCTATGCGGCTATGGACTATAGCGTTCTCTCTTGTTAATATTGATTTTGTTTTATTTCTAGTAAGTAACATTTTAGCCATTAAATCTATATTTTTACCAGTAACTAGTAGAATAAAAGAGTTAATTGCATCTGTGGAAAATTATGTAACAGGTAGAAGGAAGCGTCTCCGACTCCATTAAGTGTATATATTCTTGATCATCTGTCCGTCTGTCTGTCCGTCCGTATCAACGCTGAGACCTCGACAACTAGATTGACTCGGCTAGTGATCCCCGAATACAATATTATTTAACAGTAACGATTATATGTAATTATGTAAGAAAAAATCAAATTATTCTGACTTGATTGTGTTCCCAGCCTTCATCGTCAGCTTCTTGGCCTTCAAATTGCTCTTGTAAGTTCTGATTTTTACCTTTCCAAAAGCTTCTCTTATGGACGTAACGAAATTCTGAGTTACGTCCTTCAGTCGTTGATACTTCTAAATTAAAATGTATTTTAATATTATTTTAAACATTAACTTTAATGCATACATAAGTGTTTGGAGACTCTCTTATATCCATTTCTTTGAGCTCAAGGTCGCCCTTCATAATCAATGGATATTCGGATTTTGGGGTTTGTCCAAACAGGCAGAAATCCAACAATGCGTTTTAGTATTAATTTAAAAAAAAATAATAGACTAAAAAATGTTGTTTAACTAATTAGTCTAAGCTTTGTTTATTTACTCCCCATATTAGCGATTTGTTTTTTTTATTGTTATTGTTTCAATCTACCCTTCAGTTCTGGAGTCAGCTCCGGGCAGAACAGGCAAAACAGTCTCAGCAGAGAAATCGGCGCAGCGAAGAAGACTGCCGACGGAAACGGTCGGTCAAGAAAGAGAGGCAGATACTCGTAGATTTCACTCTCTTTGTCTTATAATCTGCCTGCACTCGGCGCTCGCACAGACAAATTTCGGCCGGTCCGTTATACTTTTGCGTCTATCCGTTATGTTAAGCTAGCTACCAACATTGTGCTTCGCCTTTCTCAAACAACTGTTCGGGTCCTTTGTATCTTTTGCCAATGTTTCCGAAAATATAAGCTCGAATTGTTTCATCATGTTATGTTTGGCATTTTTGCAATGTAATTGTTACTATGTTTGTTCTAAGGGTTTCATGATTTCTTAAAAGAGTGAAATAAAATTTGCCCCTGTTAATGCGACACGGCCGAATCCATGAATTTTATCAATCTTAGCTGACGGAGATGCCGGACCGGTGGAAAAAGGTGTTAGCGATTATTAAACCGATTATTTTTTTCGATTCGCATGAAATAAGCTTACTAGTATTAAAGAAAAAGTGTGTGCAAGCCAGTATAACATTTTTTACCGTCAAAATAAAAGATGAAAACTAGTTTCCATTGGCACTGAATGAACAAATAATTTGTTAAATGTAAGTTGTATTTATGTATTTATATCGATCTGGCAACTCCGATAATTATATAGAGTTACCGGAGTTTAATTGGCACCATTTCACGCTTTGAGGTTGAATTCATAGTCAAGTTTCGTGTGTTGTCGAATTCACGAAATGGCGTTTATGCACACACGAATCGGCTGAAATCGCGAAATGAAAGCGTGAATTCGGCATCGCATAAACACAGTATGTGTTTCACAGAAGCTCGAATTGTTTCATCATCTTATGTCCTGCGTTTTTGCAATGTCAATGTTTCTCCTGCTCGCCTTGCAAGGTACCGTTAGAACTGTTGCCTGTGCGGCGCTACAAAAAGTGTAGCGCGACACACACACCCAGAAAAAAATGAACGAAAAAAATCAAGAACATTTTTCATGATTTGACAACAATCCGTTCGCTAAGTTCCGTTCATAAAAAACGAACGCCGCGTGGTCATATCATGAACATTTAGGTGTAATTGTAAACGCTTCACTGAAAAATGCCTTGGCAGTAAATGGGGAGAACGCTGTTCTTAAATTATCAACACCGTTCATAAAAACATGTATGTAGGTCTAGTGTCCCGATTTTCCGCACTCGAAAAATTAGCTCGGTGGTCCAGCGCTAGAGCGTCCGCCTTCGACACATGGTAGCACAGGTTCGAGTCCGCGAGAAGACGGTTGTAAATTGTAAGTTTTATTAAAATATTATTTCTAATGTTTATATGTACTTCTATTAATAAATAAGTTCTTTGTCTTCAGCAAAATAACCAAAATACATTGAATTCTAGCAATAACAAAACATACACACATAAACACATGGGAAATTAAATAAATCTCTACCAGGCGTCCAGAAA